TGAGTTCAATATCCCACGTGCTCACATCTTCAATTCCCGCAACAGATCCTTTGTGGATGATGTCATGCGCGCTACCAATGGTGCTGGAGTGGATCTTGTGCTCAACTCTCTTTCTGGTGAGCTCTTACACGCGTCCTGGGAATGCGTAGCGGAGTTCGGCAAAATGATTGAGATTGGGAAAAGAGATTTGCTAGGAAACGGCCGTGTCTCTCTCAACCCATTTGTTCTGAATCGTAGCTTTCATGGCATCGATCTGGCTCATCTTATCGAATCTCGACCGGCAGAGTGTCGAAGGCTTTTGGAGAGAACGATTGCCCTTTACGAAGCGGGTCAGATAAAACCAATCTTCCCCGTGAAAACGTTCAAGTTATGTGAGGTAGAGCAATGCTTCAGGTACATGCAACAGGGGCGACATATCGGCAAGATTATTCTATCTGTATGTGGTTCCGCGGATGAAACAACCAGGTCAAAAGACTTGATCACGGCACATCCCAAGCGCAATCCCACTTTTAATCCACAAGCATCTTATTTGCTTGCTGGTGGCCTTGGCGGGCTAGGTCGTGTCGTGGCCAATTGGATGGTCGAGTACGGCGCACGACACCTGATATTTCTTTCTCGGAATGCAGGGGAACGGGAGACCGACAAAGCATTTTTTGAAGAACTTGAATATCAAGGATGCAAAGTGACAGCAGTAAAAGGGAGCGTTGCCATTGCCAAAGATGTGGAGAAGGCTATTGCTGCTGCAACGGCCCCTGTGCGTGGTGTGATGAACATCTGCATGCAATTGCAAGATATGAGATTCAACCAGATGACCCATGAGGCATGGACCACTGTCAATGAGTCAAAAATCAAAGGTACATGGAATATGCACAACGTGTGCATGTCTAAAGAGATAAGTCTTGACTTCTTCCTTCTCTTCAGCTCGGTCTCAGGTTTGTCTGGCAATTTTGGCCAAGCAAATTATGCAGCGGCGAACACCTTCCTCGACACCTTTGTGCTTTATCGACATTCCCTGGGTCTGAACGCTTCTGCTGTCGATATTGGTATGATGTACGACCACGGATATATCGCTGAGAATCCGCTCGTAGCGGAGCGGTTGCAGTTGCTTGGGTCGTATGGCATCCGGATACCACAGCTCCTGGATGCCATCACGCTCGTTCTAAGCACCCCTAGATCCAAGCCTGAGAAAAGCACATCGCGGACATGTACGTCTGTGTTGGCTATTGGTCTCCGTAGCACTCTACCACTATCTGATCCTACAAACCGCGTAATATGGAAGGACGACCGGCGAATGGCATATTACGCCAACCTCGGCTTGAATTCGAACGCAACTTCAGGTGCGACTTCTGACGGCGATAAGCCTACCCAGGGCATTAGAGCTTTCTTAAAGCAAGTTCTCGCTGAGCCAAAGATCCTTGACCAGCCCGATAGCTCAGTTTTCCTCGCGCGACAAATCGCAAGAAAAATCGCGCTTATGCTTCTCCGACCACTTGACGATAAGGAAGATAGTGAGGTTGATATATCGAGCCCGTTGCAGGATGCCGGTATGGATAGCTTGGTCGCTATGGAGATGCGGAGATGGTGGAGGACGACGTTTGGCTTCGACATTACCATGCTGCAGATGGTTGGAGCTGAGAACACAATGGCACTTGGTGAACGGGCTGTTGAAGGGCTGAGAACGAAGTATGCAGAGGTTGAAGAGCAGCCCGTATCCTCGACACCTGCGGTCGTTGTATCGGCTTGATTCAGAGGTCAGAGGACCTTGGAGCATAATACGCACTAGGACAAATACGGGGACGAGAAGTTGGTTGGAAAAAGTCGCACTGCTCATTATGTGCCGTTGATCAGAGTTTCCCTCGTTTATTCGCACTCTTTCAGGCTGCCCACGCTTGTGAACCATTTTTAAATCTACCTTTACTCGTTATATTAGCATTATTTGGCCCCATATACCCTCGCGATAAGCGCCGTAGAGCCATAATAAAGAAGTTCTTTTAAATGATTTTCAAGGTTTGCTGTCTCATTCTCAGATTGAGCAAATAGATGCACTATAGCCAAGAACGTGCCTTGAAAGGCGTCTTATTCTTTCGCCACTTTACTCCTAACAGGAAGGTAGAGCACGGCTGTAAATAAGGCGCACAACCCAAAATCGCCTATTCCTCTGGTAGATGAATTCAGGATGCAGCTACTGATAAGACTACTACACTTGTCGATCGATTAAGGCAGTGGAGCAGTTTGGGGGCTATCTTGGGTAGAACTAGTGCTTAGCCAAGCTTCCTGAAGTTACTTGTAAGAGGAAAGGTTTTTGTACGCCCCAATGTCGATTAGCAGTGAGGTGTCAGCCATACACGTGACTTCGGTAGTCAATTTTAATATTATACCCCCGATACTCAAGTCTAGGATTTGCAAAATGACTGCTGTGTTTTTTTAAAATGTCTTCAAAGTACACTAGAGATCTGTCAATGCTTCTCAAGCGCGCTGGAAAACTTTTGAGAGTATTATATCTCATTGAGAAATCCGATATTCCTGCTGTCTCTATACCAACAGTAAGATTTTGTATAAATTATAGGCTATTGACACTGATCAGAGAACAGGTTATCGTAGCACTTGCGATATCAGGGGTGCCCAGTGTGCCCTTGTTTATCAAGGGAGTAGTTTGGTGCCAACTGCATCTGCTGGCTTTTGAAGTATGTGCGCGATGGTGATGCTCCGCTTTAAAAACATAATATACTAATATGCGCATAGACCAAGAACCAGGTGATTTGGACTAGATTTTGCAAAGTCATGTAGCTGGTACTGATGCAGTAAATAAGATTGTCGGTCTTCAAGAAGATCGCATTGCAAAACCGCATCGCCCACTTCCCTCTGGTCTTATCTCGTTGGAAGACGCCCACATACTTTACCGCTGCCTTTTAGTATACATGTGGATCGCGGCTCTCTATTGCGACACTCTTGTTTGCACCATTGCATATACAGCCGCGATCACGATTTACAATGAAGGCGGACTTGCTGCTTTTGCCAGCTTGAAGAGTGTTATTGGAGCATTCGGCCTGATGTGCCAGTGTTGGGGAACTACAGTTACCTTTGGTGAGCGTGCAATCTATGCAGATTGTTTATTCAAGCCTATACTAACGTGCGACAGCTAACGGAGAGAATTTGCATGGCAAGAAAGCCCTGGCAATTCTCATTTTCGGTCTCATTTTCTCAACTACTGTAAGTCCGTGAGCAGCAGGCAAGCAAAGGCTAAATTGATTTTCTTTGTAATAGGGGCACGCCCAAGATTTCCGTGACCGGTCAGCAGATGCAGTTATGGGCAGAAAGACAATACCATTGGTGCTTTCTCAACCCCTGGCCAGGTGGTCGCTTGCAGTCTTGATCGCGGCGTGGACAGCAGGCCTGATTATTTTTTGGCAACCTCCCATGGTTGTCAATATCGCTTTTGCAATTCTTGGGCTTCGAACATTGGGCGGCTATCTTATGAGTTATGAAGAGAAAGACGATTCCGTGTCGTATGTTTATTACGGGGTAAGATTGTTCTTCGAAGCTAAAACAGCAAGGAAATGCTAAGATGTTTGCAACAGATCTGGCTGATGAGCAGTAACATCCTGGTCTTCTTTCCTCGAATGAGGGGAGAATTCAATTAAATAAGCTTGGTGCATGGAATAAGTTAGTTAGATGGATGATAGACCATCAATAGGAGGAGGCCAGGGGAGTGGCAAAGGGATCATAAAGGAATGGGTTGATAGTAAGCATGTATGGTACCAAGAAGAGATTCGTTGTTAGCCTCTATGGATTTGGATGAGGACGAGCTTAGAATTATCCTGGTTCGGTCTTGCTGTCAGTGATGGTCATGAGTCAGGGTAGGACGGACAATGCGCTAGCTTGACTAGTAGAAGACTGTCCGAGCTCCCCGCAGACGATGACAGCATAGATTATCGCTCGAATCATAAACTTTGACCTGCAACAGCACACAGCGTCGCCAACTCAACTGCATATTCCAACATGGAACCAAGCATATCCAGATGTATCCGCACGTTTTCACGACGCTCGATACAAACACCATGCCGTTCAGATGTGGCAAGATGGAGGCCATCAGTATTTACACGCCCATGCTACGCACAACGGCTGCACACGACGCGCCCTGCCCTTGTCCAGTCCCGAGCCCCAAAGACACGCGACCGAGGACCGAAAAGCAATGAGGATACTCAGACAGACTTCAGTGCTCTAGATTTGCTCCGCAACACAGCGGCTCCTGCCACCTCCATAGACGCATGTACAGGCGATGGCTTCGCACTCAACAACCAAATGCGCATCAGCGGCAGCGGCGTCTTACTTGTGGGCGGCGAGGCATTCCGATGGCGGCCGTGGCTATATGAACAACAAAAAGAAGGCATAGTAGGAGAAGGGGGTGCGGGCGGAGATGCAATGACTGGCAGACTGCTGAATGCCAAGAGACAGTGGGAGGTGCCAGAGCAGGCGTGGGGTGTGTTGGAGTTGGTATATCCTAAGCCTGGTATGCGGCAATTTGGCCTTTTAGTTCTTTCAAAGACATCTTTCAGTTAACAATATCTTGATAGATCTCCTAATCATCGGAACGGGTCCGAACACTACGCCTATTGCGCCTGCGGTTCGCAAGTATCTGAACGGCCTAGGCATTCGACTCGAGATTCAAGACACGAGGAATGCAGCTGCACAATTCAATCTTCTCGCGACGGAGCGCGGAGTTGGACAGGTCGCGGCGGCGTTGATACCGATCGGGTGGAGAGAAGGTCGTTGAGAAGGAGACTAGCCAACGGATGACATGGCCCTAGAAGATCACAACAAGACGTATTCCAAGGGCACCGGCTGGCAGTGGCGGTGAACACGTATGAGTGAGTAGGCACATCTCATTTGCACTCTTGTCATTCCACCTTCGATCCTACGTGCTGCCACTGCTTACGTGCTGCCACTGCTTTGTACATTTTCCAATCCTTTATTCCCGGCTGCAATCAGGCCTTTACATACGACACCACTCTATCTGTCGTTTTGTTAGCCTTCCTATCCGCAAAAGTCCCTTTCATTTCCCTACAATCACTCAGGTTTCCCTGGTTTTGTCTCGACCGCAAACGCGCTCGTCATTAACTAGCAAAGTGACCCACCCGTACCGGTTCCAGCACCCTTCTGCCTACCCTATCTCTTCGTCCAACCTGTATCTCTTTGGTTGCCAGCATCTCGCAACAGTACAGGCATATGTATCTCAACCATTTTGTTGATAGACCGTCAGCTGTGTTTGCACTCCTTTTCCGTCTGGCTGCCCGAATCTTCCAGAATGCGTTCAACGCTGGTACAAGGTGGGGTTTCGGCACACGATTTGGGGTGGGAAGCAGGGAAGCCGTCAGGGACACGACGCCTTTACTTAAGCAAGACCACTCTAGCGCCTATCAACCCCATCGCGACATGAACCACCTCTTCACCCCACATGCACCACCAGCCTTATCAAATCTTCATAACCCGCCGCTTCCGCTTGCACCCAACGTCGGCTCCAAACTCTCGGCCCTCGCATCCCTGCAATCGAGGACCTTAGTCCTCGAGTCTTCTCTGGCTTGTATGCAGATTTCAGAATCAGGCAATAGTTCACACAACATGAGCATATCTAGTACCGAGAGGCAGTCGCTACATGCCATACTTTCGCCCGTGCGCGAGGACTTGCAAAAGCTCAAAATATTGACACCCGAAAGTCTGCCGCCCTATAGCCCACGCGTTCGAACCAAGAGCCACGCTCAGATTCTTAAGCACAAGCTTCTACCCATTGGTCAATTTATTGTCACCTATCTCGATCGTGTACCGGAACATGGTCGAGGGGCCCTGGAGCTGCAGTTATGTCGCCTTGTCGCTACGGAATACTGGCCATTGCCTGTCGACGACTCCACTCATTTGAGGATCCAGGAAATATATCGAAATGCTCTCTTCAGGATGGGTCAGCACACGACAAGTATTCCAGCATCGGACCATCACCCAAAGGGTCCACTGCCCGGCCACTCACTTGCCAAACCATCTTCTCCCACAAACACGCCATCTTCTAGCTCGGTCAACAACACAGAGATGGATATTGGTGGTGGCAAGTCTCCAGACCGAATGCACTAGCTCGACTAGGGGACCGGTTCAGACATTGCCACAGTGGATTTGCAAGATGAAATGGGTTTGGTGGGCAAACACTGGTTACTCGTGGTGTGGTCTCTTCCACTTTTCGAAAAAGTGGTGATGTTCTACTTGGTAGCATAGTATACTATACTGCCACTCATCAATGACTGGAAACACAAATGAGCTCTCTCTGGTAAAGTGGAGCAGGTACTTTTGCAGAAGGCTGCTGGTATCTGAGTTTGATTTGAAGACAAGGGCATATTCAATGTTGTGAATGCTCATGTTGTTTTAAGCAATCCCGATCATTCCAAGTTTCTTTATTTATGGCTGTTTATTCCAAAGGCTCCGATTTGTACACTACCTCCTTTTGTCAGAAATTACTTTCAACATTACTTTTCTCTCAACAGGCAGTGACGAAGACAATAAGTGAAGCACAAGATAGCATAGATTTCAGTGAGCATAGCGTGGTGTAACTGTGCTTAATTCAGAATTTCTAGATTGAAGTACTGTCAATTCTCATCAGTCACTAGCTAGAAAATCACAGCCTAATGCACACCGAGCGCCTCATAAATCGCCGCCACCAATTTCCTCGTTCTGTAGTTTCCCATGCCCTTCTTTTCTCCCTCCTCATTCTGTCCCAGGCCCGCTTTCTCCATCTTGTTCATGACATACCCAATCGTAACTTTCCTCTCCGCATCCGCAATGCCCTGGCTACCACCCCAACCGCCCCAACTCGCGACTCTGCCCTCTGGCAGATTCTCGTTCATCGAGCCCGCAGCAGGCAGTGCGAAACCAAGACCGAACCGCACCGGGATGCTGATGACAAGATCGGTGCCGTGCTGTTGGGTGGTGAAGATCTGCTCCGTAGTCTGCTGTGACAAAAACGACGATGGGTTCTCAGGTGCAGAGAGGGACACAGCAGAGAAGATGCGGACGAGGGCGCGGGCATTGGAATATCCATTTGAAGCTGGTAGCACGGATTTTCGCCACAGTTGTTCGTTTGCTACCGTTGCGTCCATACCGGGGTTCTTAAGCAGCGTCCTAAAGGCGATGCTGTTTGGATCCTTCATTGCCGCAGCCACGCTGGTCAGATCCGTAATTGGGGGCGGTGGCACAATTTCTGCCACCCTGTCCCAATCTTTTTCCTGTGCACCGAATTGAAAGTCTGCATCGAGCGGAGTGGTGATTTCGCGTTTGACGAATTCGTCGATGGGGAGGTGCGTGACCTTTTGGATCAAGCCGGCGATGAGATGGCCCATGGTGTAGGCGTGATAGCCGCTTGCAGTACCCGGCTCCCACCACGGCGCCTGCTGGGCCAACAGGTTTGTGCTCTTTTCCAAATCACATATATCTTCAAATGTGACGTTTTCGTCCCAGCCGCTCAGCCCCGTCGCATGGCTCAGCAAATGCCGCACCAAGACCCCTTCCTTCCCGTTTGCCGCAAACTCGGGCCAGTACTTTGATATCTTTTCGTTTGGTTCCACAAGCCCACGGTCGACGCAGATGAGAAGGGCAAGGGCGGCGACAATTTTTGCACTTGACCATACGCATGTGATTGTGTCTTTTTCCCAGGGCTTGGTTCGCGCGGCGTCGGCGTAGCCGCCCCAGAGGTCAATCACATCAGTACCGTCGACGTTGACGCAGAGGGAAAACCCCAATTCTTCTCCAGTGTTGAGGTAGGATTGTATGAGCGACTTTACTTTGGTAAAGCGGGGGTCGCAGGTTCCGTGGACTTGGGCTGCCATTGTGCAATGTTGAATCGAGTGATAAACTGATTGGAGAGATAAACAAAAGAGTCGTCGCTGACAACTTCCTTGCTATTCCTGCTACCCTTTCACTTATGGGTTGAGAATTTTTTAGAAGCAAATGACATGCTAAGTATACATATATAGTTCTTGTTTTCTCCAAGATGCAGGTAAGCGGGGTTCCGCCAGCGGTATTCCACCGCTTTCGATGCTGCAAACCCGCTCCAAGTCAGCTCATGGAATTCATTCCGTACTCTGAACTCAGCCACTGAACTCAGCAATCTAGCATTGGATAAACAATGTGGACTGCTGTTATGGTCCGCCTTGTTTTTTTTTAACACCCTGCCCGCAACTCGTCATCATACTGCGCATTACCCTCCAAAAACAAAATCAAGTCGTTCGTCTCAAGCATACATCATCTCAGTGCGATTCGCGTATAGTCGTCATTAAATATTGATGCTCTTGATGTTATCACACTTTTGGGCGCCGGCAGCCTTCGTAGAGCTACTAGCAGACTTGTACAGAGCCCGTATGCGGAATACGTTCCACACCTCGCTTCCCATATCTACGCCGATAATTCGATTACTGAGACGTTACCTGGGTTTGTTCTGTACAATATCACAGATGGCATCAAGGTGATGTATCTATGTTCTTGGTTCACACATCTGCTATTGTGTCAAGACCTATGCTGGCAGGAAACTACACTCGAGATAACGTAACAGCGAGAGCAAACGGTGCCTGGTTGAGTAACTACTTGCAATATCGTAATCTTCTTCCAACCCTTCCCCATGAGGTCGAGGTTTTAGACAAGACATCGAGTCTGAAGTTCGGTACACTAATATCTCCTTGCAATTAGTGTGGTGGGAGTAAAATAATTAGATGAAAAGACTTGAGGATAAACATATCTGCAGAAATTAATGTGTGGGGCTGAGGGGTAGGGTCGGTTGTCCAAGACCATATTTGGCGTTTCCGGTGAAGAAACACGAAGCAGGCTGCATACCTGCAGATCGTGCTTGGTTCAGATTGCTGTCTGCTTCGGAAGAAAGTACAAAACGAGGTGATACAGTAATGTCAGCCTGCATATTTCGCTACGTGAGTGGCTGGACCTTCCCCAAAAGCCCGTTGTCAGGTCATGTGATTGCCGCCCCGCGGTGATTATTATCTTCTAATGTGGATGGGTGTTGAATCCCCACTACTTATCCTTAACTAGGGAATGAATCCTACTTGTTACTTGTGACACTGCCTTAGCTATGAGCACTGCCTCACAAGACGATATTGAGCCTTATTTAAGCTTGTCGCGACTCTCTTTGTCCTATCGCCATCATGTCGCACACAGCGCAAACTGAGAAAGGGCAGAACATAAACACTACAGCTTACTCCTTTTTTGCTGTTGATAGCTGCGTAAAACCCATAGAAGATGGATCCAATCCACTAGATTACAACACTCTACCAGGGTGGCCTAGAGAACCTCAGCCGCTCCTGAGAAGCAACCTCGTCGTCTGGGGCGAACTAGCTTTCTTAACGTCACCTACGATGTTTCTAGGTATGTCTAAATGCATTTTCTAAGAATAAGTCAAAATTTAATTCCAAACTAATTCTTAATACTAGAGTTTAGCGCCTATTGGCGCGATTTTAGTCTCTCAGCAAGACATATATAGGCAAAAGTAAGGGCCAAGTAGTCTGCATCCTGCGTCGGCGTTTGGCCCTTATTGATTCTAACGGAACGAAGACCGTGCTTTGGAAACAGACGTGCCCTAACCTTTTGAGCTACTCAACTCCAGGCACCAATCTAGCTAGTATTCCCGTTAGGCAACCCCTACTCATCCTCTAGATGAACTAAACATCTGGACTCTGGCACAATCTAGAACTACGTGTCACGGATTCCTTGGTTTCAACATTGTCGTATGTAATGTGGGATACTCGCTGACTGGTCCCGGCTTCTCGTCTGTCACCTCAGTGACATACAAGGCAAAGGTCGGCGCCGCCGTAACCTTCGATGTTGTCATGTTCAGTTCCCCCAAAGACTTTCTTTTAATCATACGTGGTTCTGCAAGTTAACAGTATTGATTGCAGAGGCTTGGTGCCGAAGAAGCCTCGTCCATACTCATGCTAATAGTCCGTCTTTTTGCTTTGTTTGGAATAGATAGACAAGGATAAAACTTGAGTAGTATCAATATTAGAAGTCATTACTTTCATATATATATAGTATATTCTACGTCAACAATGCTGTACTAGCCGAGACGGCTTCAGATCTAGGGAGTGCTGCCCAAAGACGGACTCTTGTAAGCCAGCAATCCTTGCCACCGGAGATTGTTAGACCCACAGCTAGGACATGTTTTTGAGAATGTAATTTGCTACGTTATATCGTGGTTAGCATGTAAGCATGAACGTCAATCTTCCACATAGTGACTATGAAGCTTCTGATGCATGTACACTCTGCGACACGGCCTGCCTGAAAAGATAGCTGCGAAAGAAATCTTTATGGTAATGATAGGTTGATAAATATTGACTACTAGCATTCCCACTCGTACTTATATATTCTAATAACGACAGTCTTGTATTGACTTGATTGCTTACATCCAGAGTTGTAAGAGGAGACTAACCTTTTCGCATCGCTGGGAGCTCTCTATTCGAGAAGCAGAGCCGATTTGATTCAGAGTTTGGTCTTGACCCAAGCACCTGCTTCCGTAGAGAAAATGTTGAAGTAGCTGGTATGCGCGCTGGGGTCACGACCTCCAGCACACACATTGTCGCCCGATAGACACCAAGCGCGAAGCACATTGGAGAAGCGGTTGAGCGAGGTGAGCTGGGCGCCTGTGCGGGGATTAATCTGTACGTATTTACGTTAGCAAATGTCCATTAAGGGGGGTATTCATACGCTATCGCTTGATAGCTCCCAGAGAGATCCACTTACGCCGTTAAAGCTAGCACCGGATGCAGAGTTGTATGATTGGTTAGCCGTGTGACGGACGTCGCCCCAAAGAAGCGCGGCGCGGACTGCGTGATAAGTTCTCGTTAGCCGGCTAGGTTGATATTATAGGATTCAGACAGCTCACTCTTGTTTCCGGGCGAAGTGGAAGGGTTGAGACCGGTAGTAGTAGGACTGGAGCATCCCAAGCCCGTGTTACCTCCGCCACCGCCGAGTATATCACCTACGACTTGAGCACCCTAGATGAAAAATCGAAGTCAGTACAGTTATCGCCTTACTGAACTCAAAGTTGCTAGGCCAGACCAACTGCTGGGTCACAGTGACCATTTCTTCAAAGTTAAACTAGCCACCCGGTTGCTTAGTACTGCCTATTAAAAAGAGCCACATACCTGCGAGTACCCAGTAAGAACCAATTTCGCATTTGGGCAACGGCTCGCATAAGCCGTGATCTGGGCAGTGCCGCCAGTAACGCCAGCTGACACCGAGCTGCAGTACGATGGGCTAGTGCTGGCCGGGTAAGTGATGTCCTCGTAGCCGCAGTTGCTGATACCATTGCAGATGGCTGACACCACAGAACTCTGACGGCCGGGATAAGGCTCGCTGGTGCCACGGGCAAGGAAGACGTGTACATTATGGCAGGCGGTCTGGCGCTCCTCGACCTTGACCGCCGGGGCAGCAAGTGCAAGTGAGAGAAGGCCGTAAGTAGCGAGGATAGTCGTGGTAAGCATTTTGTTAAAGAGGGGAAGGGGTTTGCCTTGACTGATGGCGAATTCTGGGAGTGCAAAGAGTTGAGTCGAACTGAGTTCGTCACACAATTTGGTGCTATTGATGTAGAGACAGCTACGGAGTTATTTATACCATATCCCGTCCGACCATAGCTACCTCTTCTAATGCTGTACATAACTGCCGGCTTCTTAATGTCTTGAGTTATTGCTTTTCGGACGTAAGGTTATATGGTGGTTGCATTCAAAGCGCGCTTAGAGAGATGAAAAGAGGAGTTGGGTAATGCAACCTAGCGTATTAGGCAGGACCGCAGTATTGGCGGTCTTACCGATAACGAGGTTAGGCCAGTCGACCTTGAGCCTGGAAACAAGATGCATGAGTGTTGTAAAGTAGCCAGGCTCCCTGAGCGAAGGTGTGACCCCACTCCTGGGTAGCAGGTACCCCGGAGTAGTGCGTGAGGCAGAGGTACAGTTGCGAGGTGAGAATCTCTAGCTCTTTTGCAAGTACTATGCTTTGTGGAAGTCCAGGTTAACCAAGATGGCTAGAAGAACTTGAGGCGTAATTGGATGAATCGTTCTTTACTGGGCAGGAATACATTTTGAAGAACAAACTACAAAATAGGGTGTTGACAACAGCAATTCGAATGGCCGGCAGTCGAAATAGACTCACGTACGTACCAGCAACTGGGTATGATGGCACTAGCTTCGATTAGGTATGTGAACCTACGAACTGCCGTAATTGGCGAGCATGCACGTCATCCACCAATCCTAAGATTGACCTCGTGTCGATCTCTGGGTCTAATCAAGGTTCCACCCCCGGAATTTGGTCACAGGTTTACCCGAAGTTTTGCCCCAAACGCGAGGCTTTACCGAGGTTTGTCAATAAACCCCAGTTTCCCCTCAATGGACTCCATCATGTAACTTCTAAGTTTTCGCACGTGTAAGGCTTGCTGCCTCCAGTGTGCCCCTCACGCTCATCTTCTGCAACTAAAACGGCTTGAAGGGAAATTCTTCAAGAGGTGGTGGAAATGCTTTTCCGGCCTCATCTAATCATCAGCGCAGATGCGTCGATCGGTTTCTCCGCTTCTTCTGTGTCCACGTTCTCACTCTCGAGACACCAGTATCCCCGGTTGTACTTCGATAACCGCTCTCAAACTATCAATGGGATACAAGGATAAGTAAGATGGGGGTGCGAGTGGATCCAGAGCATTCGTCTACTTCATGTCATGGAGGGCAAGCGACACCTTGGCCATATTTGCTCATATTGTTCAATTATATTCCCTATACAGCTCAGGACTATGTAAGACTTTGGTCAGGAACCGCTCTATCTAGGTTGTGTTCAAACTAAGTTTTTTGAGCATATACTACCACTATTGTGCTTCAGGTTTTGTCTGTAGCTACACTTCTAGCAGACGCCCGGTGCTAAAAAGTAGCTTGGTAAACAGGAAAAGTTGTCAGATCGCTAGGCTTTCTTCCAGCGGGTTTATTAGGAGACATTATACGTATATTGTGTTTCATAAGCGAGTTGCTCACATATTAGCTAATACCTCGTTTGCTATTCTTTCGAAGTACGTCATATGCATATTAGCTCTGCCTTGCTGAGTAACACGCAAGCAATTGAGAAAGCTTGATCAATGCTTGACTGCCTAGCTCCAACTAAGCTTCCACGTCTGATCTGTCTCGTCATGCCACTTCTCTGGAAGAATGAAGAGAAACTATCTGAACAAGATTTCCATGAAGATCAAACTCCTTTGTTATACCACTCAGCCCTTGTAAACCGAACAAGATTTGACACATGGCTTCATTTGGGGTACATCTACTTTACACATCTTCTAACCTACTAAAGCTCTAAGCCCAAAAGATCTTGGAGCCAAAACATTTCACTATACAGTTGTCATCATGACCTCCCTCTTCCTCTCCAGCCCCCAATCCAAGTCCAAGTTCCTCACTTCAAAAACTTACTAATCAACCCCTTCCCCCCCTTTACAAGATTCTTCACCTCCCTCTTCAAATCCTCCGTCGGATTTCCTCCTCCCTGTTTCCCGGGCTCCAGATACCCACCACCCGCACCCCCCTCGCCCCCACAATGACCCTGGCCACCACACGTACCCCCGGGACATCCTTGGATAAAATGCTGAACCTCACTACAACATCTCCCACACTCACCCGACCCCATAAACGGTCCCCCGTTCCCCCATCCTACACGCATAACTCGCGCTTTCCGTCCTTCCCACCCCGTCTTCGCGTCCGTAGCATGGAACACGCCCCAGACCTCTGGCCCACCGGGTCCATTCACCAGGACAAAGTTGCCGTGACCAGGTCCATACGGGGGTGAGTCGTCGCGCGCGGCTTTCAGCAGCGGAACGTTTGATTTAGCCCAGGAGTGCGGGTCGAGCGGATGACCACCGGTATAGTACAGTACATTCATCTTGTACTCGTGCGTCCAGCTGCCCGCGCAACTATACACGATGCCCATCCACCGCCCATCTGGCGAGGCTAGAAACTGCGGACCCTCGTTTATACCGCTGCTTCCGGAGAACTCAAACTGCAGGTCGGGCGTGCTGATGCGGATGGGGTGGCCGGTGCATTCGGTTGGGGATACCATTTCGATGATGAAGATTTCCTGGCGGGACTCATCGGCCTCGGTGCCGAGGGGCCAGCCCGAGTAGACGAAGAGCATGGAGCCGTGCAAGTAGATGACTGTGCCATCAATGGCCCATTGGTGTTCGGGCAGACCTCCCAGACGGCCAAAGAAATTCCACTTGCTGGGCTCGAGGGGGTCCTCATCGGATGGTGGGCCCGCAAGAACAAACATGCGGTGAGACTTGTTGCCGTGCTTTGGGTCGTCGGCGGCAAAGTAGACGTACCAGCGTCCTTGGATGGAATGCAGTTCTGGCGCCCAGATATCGCCTGAGTAGGGCTGGTTGGGAGGTGGCCTCCATATGACGGTCTTTTTGGAGCGCTCTTCGAAATCGAATAGGGAATCCGCAGACCAAATCTCAATGTGGCCGCCACACGTAAAGGTCATGTAGTAAGTGCCCTTGTCCCATAGTACATAAGGATCAGCGCAGCTTCTCTTTGTGATTGTGAGTATGGAATCGTTGTATGGTGGTCGTTGTCCCTGGTAGATTGGTTGCATTTGCTGGGCCATGTTGGCGATATCGAGCTACGTTGTCGGATGTTCAGATCAATACTACAGTCTTCCGATAATGAGAAGCAAGAACACATGACAATGATAATCACAGCAGACAGTCATTAGCACCAAGAGGCTAACATGTCACACGCGTAACACCTGTGTGATGACGTCACTTCGGGCCTTCATCGTCTTGGATTGCAAGGCAAGTATCAGACAACTTCACCCCATCCAGGCTGTCATGAGGACGGTGTAGCCACAAGCAGTTTAGAATTTTTCGGTCTAGATGCCTCACGCGAAAGAAAAAGCAGGGTCTCCTCTACCGGTGTGTGGCGTCGTGATGCATGGCGGGGTAGGAAAGCCACGCGGTGCTCAGCCACGTTCTTGGTCTTGTGTCCCCCACTTGTCTTCTTCATCACGCCATGATTATCGAAAAAAGGATATGCAATTACTAAAAATCCTCGTTCTGATTACTCCATATAATAAAAGCTTCCTGGCTTGGCCCATGCTTCCATCGTGGTATCCCTTTCCCAAGTCCCTTTTCGAGTCCCCCTCATTATGTAGAATACATGACCCTCTTATCCTTACGGCGATGGCGCAAACATCCCATTACACAGCACAGCTATGCATCAAAGTAGAAAATCAGGAGAGGAAAGAGAAGGTATCCAGAAATTGAAACGGAGACTACATACAGCATGTCGCCTTTGGGGAAAGAAAAAGGACTCAACACTATGCCACGCTAACCATGTGTCATGCATAGCAGTTGAAAATGCTTCTTTGTTTAGAACACACACACACCGGCGATGGCTAGTTTTGATTGCGAGTGCGCGACATTGCATTCGAAGTTCATGTGTGCTTGTTTCGGTGATTGGCTACTACTACAACTCAGTATTAAGATTTTGCTCGACTGTAAGTTCACCAGATTCAATGCGGTCGACACGGAGTACGAGTTCCTTTTTTCATGATCAGTATACGTACAATCGACATATTTCTCATAAAAGACAAACCTTGAGAGCCCTTGCGGTCCGGAACGCAAGGGGTGGGATTTTCTCGCGGCCTCCACCTCTAACATCAACGGCCAGCATGCTTTGTCTGCACTCATCAAGGACTTGAACCACTGGAATGGCGTGCTTCTTCAGAGCTGAATTGGATAGCTGGTTGACGGCATCATAGGTTTTGTTTCCAGTGTCCTCAACCGCTTGTGAAATATCTTGAATGTATTCGTGTATTTGTTGATCATCCGCAGGCGAACCATCTGGGTTGTTGCGTATGAGATTGACGAGAGGCTGGATGCTCTGGACAAGAAGAGCCGTTTGATCTTCAAGGTAGTTCTGCGAGCGTCAGTAGGTTGTGGCTACCCATGCTGACTAGGAATGTACCTTGAACTCGAGCATGCCGCCGTCGGGTGCGCCGTTCCCGCCGACACTTTGACCATCATAGCCGCTATAAGGCGAGCTGTATGCGCTGTAGCGAGTAGTGTCACTGCTACCACCTCTGCTGCTACCACCACGTTGATGGCCAGACTTCATCGTGGCTCCACCATTCGTAGTTGCAGTGTTGTTTGAGTACACAGCCGGTTTGAGTGGCATAGGCCTATCAGCGTCCTCATCGTCGGCCTCAAGTTCATCTTCTGGTGTGGGTCGAACCTTGACGTGCTTGACTAGCTCGACAACAGCAGTGGACAGATGACTAGCAGCAGCATCTAGTAGACTAACTGGTGAAAGTCCACCAGAAGCCACATGGTTCTTCGTGGCAGTGATAAGATTGTTGGCTGTAGCGCTGACGCGCGACTTTAGCTTTGCCTGTTGTTTCTCTGGATTTGCTAGTATGTCGCCGCTCACACTGCTTGTGGGTGATTGGATTTGCGAAAGCGATGTGTTATCGATATCGCCCGTGATCGCTCGGACACACTTGACAACATGGCGCATGCCTTCAAGAGTCTGTTCCGAATTGGCTCTCCTTGCCATCTGAAGCAGCTCGTCAATACTGAGCTGGAACTTAGTTATATGTACATCTTTGACGATTCCATCGGGTGAAGTAAAGGAAGAGTCGCGGGCGTAGCCACCTAGGTCGGCTGCTACAAGTTGGGACAAGCCCATGGACGATGCCTTGAGGTTTCGAAGCTGCGTCTTGGTGCGCGCGTATCGTGATTTCCATTCCTTTAGCTCAGCCTCGAGTGACCGAACTTGATTCGCCATTTGTTCCTCCTTTTCTGCAGCCGCATCACTACGAGCTGACAGCTCCTTCATTTCCTGTAGGAACATGGACGCATCTCTTCGGACCTCTTCCGTCACTTGTTGTTGCTCACTCAACTCTCGTTCAAGCTCTTCGCACCGTTGTCTCCACTGTCCATCACCGCTATCCGCCGATTGTGGAGGTGGTCTCGATTCGAGGGTGGCAATCTGTGCGCGAAGGTTCTTTTCAATGTCTTCATTCTCATTGCGCAGCCTGTCTATCTCGGACCGGAGAGACGAGTTGAGGCTCTCTGCCTCTTCGACTTTTTGCTCCAGTGACGAGCGAAGATCATCCCACTCTGCACGGTCGGTCTCCGAGGCACCGACCTGCGTTTTGCCAGCCTGCTCAAGGCGTTCCAACTCTTCGTCCTTGTTTCGTATTGTAGTCTCCAAGGTACCAATCTTGCCCTGCAGTTCCGACACCTGATTCTGGAGGTCTTCTACCATCTTTTCCTGAGCCATGTTTATGCTCTTTGCGCTCTTGCTTGTTTGCCGTCTAGCGGCAGCACCCTCGAGGTTGAAGGAATCGTCGTCATCTGCAGCACTGTCATCGTCATCTTCAACCAGAGTACCCTTGTTCGGGACAATCGTATTTGACTGGAACGTTTTGGGCAATGGGCGCCCAAAGGAGCCCGGCTCATTTCCCGAGCCGGGCCGCATTTGTCCCGGCGGTCCTGGAGGTCCTCCTGGAGGTCCGCCCATTGGCCCACCCATTGGCCCGCCCATAGGCCCGCCCATGGGAGGCGGTCCTCGATATCCTGGCCCAGGCGGAGGTCGGCCACCCATGCTATTTGGTGTGCCCGCTCTGCTCGAGGGCCCTCTGTTGCTCATGCGACTCTGGACGCTCATGGCTGGGCTTGATGGGCGCGGTGGCATCTCGCCTCCAGTGAAGCGGGGAAACCTGCGCTCGAGCTCGTAGAAGACGTCGGTAGCAAGCTGGCGAAAGCGCTCGAGAGGTAGCGTGGATAGCTTCTGTCGCGCCTGGTTGCGTTTGGGGTGGAAGCTGTTCTTGGGGAGGAGAAATTGCGGAGTATCGTTTCCAGGCGCACCCGGCCCTCCGCGCTTGCGATCCTGTTCTCTACGTATTGACTCGTCGTAAACATCGGTGCTGAGTTCCTGGAACTGGACGGCCGACAGCCTGGTCAGCTTGTCCTTTGCCCTGCTTGGTCGTGGGTTTCCCTTTTCGTCGTTGAGGTATGGGCCGAGATAGGCCTTGAGGACGTGGAAATGATCGGCCATGGTCTCCTCGAGGGCCTGCATCTTCCGGTTGTCCATCATGGGCCGCATGCTCTCGTTGAGACTCGAGGCGTACAACCCAGTGCCGTCGCTTGAGCGCCCAACGGAACTGGGCGGTGAGGGGTTTCCATTGCTGGTGCCGGGACGCATTCCATTCGACATGCCGCCATCAGGGTTACTTGAGCCGTAGGTGTTGGGTGGGATTGTGGGTGAGTAGGGGTTGTCGCCTGCGATGTTCTGGTACCCGTTAATGGGGGACCATTCTTGGCCGTCGGTTGACAGCGGTGACAGGGTGCCACTCCGGGCGTTCATAGTGTTCATCGGGGGCGGCGTCGCACGTGAGACGGCGGGGGCTGACAGCCGTTGGCTAGTGTCGTATCCGTGTCGACGGTCCAAAGGCGGTAAAAAAATAAAGAGGGAGAGAGCCGGAGTGGCTGGCGAAGAAGGGTGCAGGTGCAGCTGAAACGGTAGGCGTGGTAGTAGACGAGAGGCGCCGAGGAGGGCAACGAACGACGATCAGCAAGATAATTAGTAGATGCAGCAAGGACAAGACGTAAGTGGGCGGGCGGCCAAGCGGTCAAGCGGCCAAAGGGAATGTGAGAAGCAGGCCGGGTAAAGATCGAGAGAGAGAGCGGCGACGCAGACGCAGACGAAGACGACGCAAATGCAGCAGCGGCAACAACAAAGCGCACGGCAGCACGAGCATGTGCGAGGCCAGCCAGCCGGGGGTCCACCAGACTTATGAGGCTGGTCTGGTGCAATGACAATGCAAATGTCGGCCGTCGTGCCCCTTTCGTGCCCGCGCCTTGGCTGCGAAGGGGGAGCGACAGGGCCAGCAAAGGGCCAGCCAGAGCCCAGCGAAGGTCCAGCCACACCCCGCCGGCGAATGGCAGCCCGTTAGGCCATGACGCCACTACTCTGTCCCCCCGCGCCACACGCCCGGCTAGCCACGCCAGCCACGCCAGCGGGAGGCGCGCGTCTATATTACATAGTCTGCTATTATGCCATCTACTAGTTATGCACTTGGCACATCCTTTTCGCCTTGTCACCATCCCACCCTCCCTCTGCTACATACTGCAAGTACAACAAGAGCCTGCTCCACCAGCCCGGTGCCTGGACACTCCCACCCCAGCGGCTGCACCCTCCTGTCCATTGCACGATCAACAGCACCAGCGTGTTCGGCCGCCGGGCCTGGCCTGGCCCGGCGATCACGGCCCCCTGTCGCGAGCCCGAGTGGAGACTGCCCCAATTTCCTTTCGTACGGGGGGAACACCGCAAGCTGCAATCGCATGGGGGTATAGCAGTCATCCGACTGCTTACATAGTAGTACTGTCTATCCACATGGCCAACAACAACCACTCCTGCCACGGGGCCACGCGCCCGTGGCTCTCCAACACTGCAGCATCAACGCCTCTCCCGCAAGCCCTGGCGGCTGCATCTCTCTATCCATTGCCTTGTACCTGCACCCCATCCCACATGGCCCCAGTTCTTAGCCGTTGCCAATCTCGATTCTAGCCCCTTTCAACGTGCTCTCTTGATCTTCGTCGGTGCTTGGTTCCGACACTCGGGACACAGCCAGTCCCCCAGCGGCTCCTCCTTGATGCCCACGCACTCCCAGTGAAACCATTGATATCTGCAGTTGTCATTGTCGCACGCCACCATGTCCCCAAAGCTGACCCGTTGGCATGTACAGTACTTGGTGTCGTCCGACTCGTCTTCCTCTGCATCCCCGCCTCCCATGCCCGACATGTCCTCGTCTTCGGTGCCTGCTTCGCTCGCTACGCTCTCATCATCTGCAGTTGTAGACGGTGACGCTCGGGACCCGCCCTTGCGACGCTTCTTGTTAACACCAGACTTTGCTGTGAGGGCTGCTTTGCGCAACGGTTGCTGCGGCTTTGCCTTCTTCACTGTGAGTGCATGTTTCGGTGGTCTTGGTCCAACGCTGCCTGCCCGGGAGCCTGGTGTCGACGGTTTAGGGGTACCTGGCCCGATTGACCCTTGCCGGCCCAAACTCGATGCCGCCGAAGGTAGGGGACCAATACTGCCTGTCGGACGGCGACGCTTGGTGTCGCTGCCAACCGATACTTCTCGTTCCTGTCGGGCGCTGGCCTGGATAGCACTTTGAGCGTTGGTGAGCCGTTGCTGGTTCAGGAGCGCCTGCGTCTGCATGTTCTGCAGCGAAGGATTCGTCCTTGAAGTGAGTCCTACGTTGGTCGCGCTGCTCAGTCGCGCAATGGCGGCTGCTTGCGCAAGGTTTGGCGCACCGCCTCCGTGATTGCCTGACACAGGTAGCAATGGCGTGTTGGCCCCTGTGTTGGTCACTGAGGCGGGCGGGACCAGATTTCCAGGTGAGTCCCTCAGCAGCGAGGGCATTTGAGGATCTGTAGGTATCGAACCATCATTTTGCAGATCTCGTAGTTTGATATCTAGACGTTTGACGTGGCGGTCCAACTGTTTTCTTGTAAGCAAACCCGCAGCCATGCATAGGCCAAAAACATACAAGAGCCGCAGCTTTCTCCACTAGCCCAATCTTCTCTTCTTGCAGTATCTGCGCTTTTTCGTAGCTGGCGGTAATAACTTTGGAATAACCCGCCTCTTTTGGATTTTCCACCAAACTACCATTTAGCTTGATGAATTTCTGAATGCTGCTATCGCGCTGATGTATTGCAGCCCGCAGCTCTTGGATTTGATTGTCCTTGGCCTGTACCTCTTCGTACAGGTGGGTAATCTCAGCTGGCAAGTTTGCAACTATGCATCGTTAGCGGGCGTCGCGCTTCGTTTTTGCAGGTAGTTGAGGTTACCATCATGTACAAACTGCTCAAGCACTGTCGCTGCATCTTCTGCGATGGCCATGGCAGACGTTGGAGATGTGGTGCGGCTGGGGACGCGTTTGTTTGGTGGCAAGAGGAACCTGCGAGGCGACTGTATGCAACACACTCAGGGCCTCGAGGAAAGTTCAAACGGGTCAAGAAAAGCCAGATGCGTCTATTGCGACGGTGACCTCGATGGAAATTGATGAGGCGTGGGGTGGCCGCGCAGGTGAAAGAGCCACTGGTGCGATGAAAGTGAAAATCGCTCAATACAAAAACCAACGGATATTGTCTTAACCCTCTCACACGATGTCCAAATTCCACTTAAGTTGATCAGCCTTTACACACGATTATTTTTCAAATATCGTAAGTCGAACGGATTGTCATATCCTGTCGCGGTCGTTGGCGTGGGTTGGATGAACAGGCACAGCTAGCTGACAAAGAGGCTAGGTTCAGCCGGGCGCTCGGCAGGATGCAGCAGTGCGGCCAATCAGACAACAGCGCCGAAGACGATTCAGTCGTTTCATCGACGGATAGTGAAGATGGCGACGACGACACCTACAACAACAACTACGACGATAACAGCGACCAAGACAGCGACTACATCCCAGAAAAAGATACTCCATCGTATAGCAGCTCAGCATTCACCACAAATCCTGCTGAGCAAACGCCTCATACACTTCTAAACGGGCCACAGTGGCAACTGGCCAACCCTGAGGCGCGGCGTGCAGCAAAAGTAGACTACCGTCTGAAGAAGCCTGGGAAACCAAAAACAACAAGCACAGCTAAGAAACAGGAGCGAAAATCCAACGTAAGTAGCTTTTTGATAGTGTTACATCTCAGACAGTCTTATGGAGCTCCGGTCATGTTTCAAACTTCGTGTTGTCTGGCGCATGCTGACAATTGCAGAAAAGTGCAGCCGACAGTTGTCGAGCGCTGTCCCCTCTTCATGACCCTCAGACCAGTTCAGCTGAGGAAAATCGAGCAAAGCGTCTTCTTCCTAACCCTCAGACTCTAGCACGCTAGGAAGAACGCCGTGCGGAAGAAAATAAGTCGCATTCATTGACTAATAGCACATTCATCGGGACACAGGACGACTGCAACCGTTGGATCTGGGAGAGTGCTCCGAAACCACGCATCATAGCCGAATTTGACCACACCGTCCTTGGCAGTGCATCTCAACCATTAAGCAATATGCGGACTCCAGGCTATATCCCGTCCAACGGACCTGCCAACAACATCGTGCAGGAATACTTATCCCCAGATGATGCCTACCCAGCAAGCTTCCAGGACTTCAAGGCGATGACGGATGCTGAGAAGATTGAGGTAATCGCTCGTGAGGCTGAAGAACATGGGCTGGAGCGACCCAAAGGATGGAATGTCTCGTTTCACTATAACCCACATGTGGAGTATCATCACTTTGGCAGCTCGCATCCCATGAAACCATGGCGACTGACGCTCACCAAACAACTTGTACTCGCATATGGACTAGAGTACACTATGGATCTTTTCGAGCCACGGCCGGCAAACTTCAATGAACTGGCCATTTTCCATGACCGCGAGTATCTATCGTACCTCAGCAAAATTACACCGCAGAATGCACAGCCCGATGACCCACAGTACATCACGTATGGATTTGGTGGAGAGTCTAATGACTGTCCAGTATTTGATGGCCTCTGGAACTACGTGTCCCTCTACACTGGTGCTACCTGCAGCGCGACGTGGAATTTGCTCAACAGCCGGTCTGACATTGCAATTAATTGGTCAGGCGGGCTGCATCATGCCAAGAAGAATCTGGCCTCGGGATTCTGCTACGTCAATGATATTGTCATAGCCATCCAACTATTGCTATCACATCACCAGCGGGTGCTGTACATTGACATTGACGTTCACCATGGCGACGGTGTGGAACAGGCATTCGAGTCAACCGACAGAGTATTCACACTTTCATATCACAAGTATGGCATTGACAAGCACGGTTATCCGTTCTTCCCAGGCACGGGGAACATTGACGAGACGGGCCCGACGGATGCCCGAAACCCCGGCAAGGCTCACAGCCTGAACATTCCGATTGATGACGGCATCGATGATGAGCAGTACAAGTGGCTGTTTAAGACTGTTACGAGCGCAGTAATTGAAAAGTACAACCCAACGGCAATTGTGCTGCAATCCGGCGCCGACTCTCTGGGCGGAGATCGGCTTGGCCGGTTCAATCTCAACATCAAAGCTCATGGCTTTTGCGTGGAGACAGTCAAGGCATATGGCCGCCCGTTGCTCATCATAGGCGGGGGTGGGTATACGCCACGCAACGTCGCTCGGACGTGGTGTCATGAAACTTCGGTGTGCGTTGGTGCGCAATTGCACAACGAGCTTCCAGCCCATGTGCCATACCTACAAGCATTCCAAGGGGCAGAGAACGGCGACGGGGTGCTATATCCAGACCTACACAACATCAAACGGCACGAGAACCTCAACTCTCAGGCCAAGCTGCACAAGCTTATTGAGCAAGCGCTTGAGAATTTGAGATATCTAGAGGGAGCGCCTAGCGTGACGGTGGACACACGAGGGATTTCGCTCGAGGAGATTATGAAGGTTCGGGAGATGATTGACCAGGAGCTGGAGGATGAGGCGGAGGATCGGGCGAGGCTGACTGTAGAGAACAGCAGGCGGAAGAAGGAGAGAAATGTCGGGGGTCGAAACGAGCGGAGGTAGGAGCACATGTTCGGAGTATCGGTCGGTGAATGCCAGTAGGCGAATGTCTTGTAACAAGGTTATGGCGGGGGAGAGTCTTTTTTGGGTAAAGACTGCGGCTTGGAAAGAGGACAGCTAGGTATATGACAGGACTGGCTGTGTAGCACGGCAGGGTATTGATAATGATATTACAACTGGCCAGAGTTTACTATGGATGACTGCATTTGAAGCCGTCATGGTGAAGGGGATGGTGCTGGTGGATAGGGTGCCAGTGGAGAGATTCGGGATATCCGGGTCATGGGATTGAGTGTGGGTATGTGTCATTGTTCAGAGGGCGCCAATCATGGCGGTTCGCGAGGCAGTACATGGATGTGCATGTACGGAAGTATGTCAGTAGATAGCATAGTATATATATAAGTAGATGCTTGGAAGCAGAGAAGAGACGGGCACGTGGTGGTGAGCCTGGACGTTGGTCGGAGTCTGATGTTGACTCAGCTCCGAGGTGCGACTAGGGCCGGGGGTGGTGCCGCCAAAAGTACGGCCGCAAGCAGTCCGGGCGTGTGCATGTCAGAAGCCTCGGGCAATGCACAAAGGACGGCATCTGTCAAGGTCGCCATCCAACTTCGAGCCCCAAAGCTCGATACTTGGGTATGAGTACAATGTCCGACGAGAGACGCCCCAGCCAGGACTCGCCCAATCTAAGCCAGCCAAGCCGCACTGCCAACGGCCCCTCTCCCGGCACCGCTCCGACACCGACACCAAACCCCCGGTCGTGCATTACCTGTCGTAGGCGCAAGGTCAAATGTGACAAGAAGAACCCGTGCTCCCACTGTGTGCGCGCCAAAATCGACTGTGTCTTCCCAGGCCCTGGCCGTGCCCCGAGAAAGAGCAGGAAACCCCCCGATGCTGAGCTGCTCGAGAGACTGCGCCGCCTCGAGGGCGTAGTCACCAGCCTTAATGCCCAAGTCGAGGGCCATGACAGTAACAGCAGTACCAAGAATAACAACGACGATGTCGCCGACCGCCAGAGAGAGCCAACCAACACCGCAGCAGCCCAGGATCAGTGCCCGCTGGGGACCACGCCGACCACGACCACGCCCAACGACGACAGCCTCCAGGGCCTCGAGGCCCGCTTTGGACGGCTCGTGGTTGAGAATGGCCGTAGTCGCTACATCAACAACAGCTTCTGGGCCAGCCTTAACAATGAGGTACGCTAGCACGCTTTGTTTTTTATTTTCTTTTATTTCGCTTTGTCCTCGCAAACTAACACAACATTTATTTCCAGGTCGAGGATCTCAAGTCCATCCTCATGGAGCCCTCGGACGACGAAGACGATGCGCATACACCCGAATCCTCGGAACCCTCGTCACAATACCACAGTTTTATCTTCGGCTATAGCTCCTCCAATGTCGACATGCAAGCCCTGCATCCTCCCGAACACCAGGCCCGCCAGTTCTGGAACATCTACAAAGAGAACGTAGAACCCCTGACCAAGGTCTTGCACGTCCCTACCTTTGAGCCCACTATTCTAAACGCTGCTGCCAATGTCGAAAAGGTCAGTAAAGGACTCGAGGCTTGGTTGTTTGTCATCTATTATGGTGCTGTGACCAGCATCACACCCGTAGAATGTCGCGACAAGTGGGGAGAGGAGCGAAGCACGCTTCTCACCAGATTCCGCTTCGGCCTCGAGCAGGCTCTCGCAAGAGCCAATTTCCTCTACTGCGACGAGATTCTCATCCTTCAGGCCTTTGTGGTCTACCTTGTCTTGCTGCGCCGCAATGACGATGCGCGCAAAATCTGGACATTGACTGGTCTCGTCGTTCGCATCGCCCAAACACTAGGCATCCACCGAGACGGCACCCACTTTGATTTGCCGCCCTTTGAGGTTGAGATGCGAAGGCGGCTCTGGTGGCAAGTCTGCATCCTCGACGCCAGATCTGCCGAAGATCAGGGGTGTGATCCCAGCATCCATGAGGCGCTATTCGACACAAAAATGGTGGGTTTTGTTTAGTTCCAAGTGCGATACACATATACCTGCTAACCATTGTCGCAGCCTCTGAATGTTGATGACAATGATCTCCGCCCTGAAATGACTGAATTCCCTCAGGGCCGGCAAGGCTTCACCGACATGACGTTTTGTTTACTCCGCTTCGAGATTGCAAACTTGATGCGCCGCATCATCTACGTACCTCCAGGCCCAAACAAGTGCACTCAGTTCTTTACAAATCTCACCGTTGAACAGAAAGAAAAATGGATCACCGACTGCCACCAGGCCATCGAGGAAAAATACCTCAAGGATTGTGACATGACTATACCACTGTGCTGGGTCACGGCGACAGTATCAAGACTCATCATGAGTAAAATGTGGCTGATTGTCTATCACCCGCATCAGCGCAAGGATGGAGGTGCTACGTTATCACAAGAGATCAGAGACAAGCTCTTTGTCACCTCTCTCGAAAACATAGAATACGGCCTACTACTCGAGACGGAAGCACGCACAATGAAATGGGGCTGGCTCTTCCAAACCTATGTCCAATGGCATGCCATTGCATTCTTGCTCTCCGAACTTTGCGTGCGTACCAAAGGCGAGGCCGTAGACCGTGCATGGAGAGCACTGGAAACTTGTGCTAACCGGTGGTGGCTCCCTTTTGCCGATAACGAGCCACAGCGCAAAGCCCACCATAGCTATATATGGAAGCCACTCGCCAAGTTGCTGGAAAAGGCAAAATTAGCCCGTGAGCGCGAACTCGCCCTCGAGCAAGCCGTTTCATCCTTCCAAAATAGACAATTTACAAGCGAAACATTCGACTTGAAGTCTGCCGAGACTCTGCAACAGACGGATACGACTTCTTTTACATCTCCTCAGCAAAACTCACAGACTCTAGACAACATGCTCCGGCCCGTTGCACCCAAACTTGGCGCCATACCCGGAACTCAGCAGCCCAGCTGGCCCAACGGTATGGACATGCAGCGTCCTTTACCAGATGGGCCGGCAATCGGATTCCCGGATGATGTACGAGATCCAAGCAATTCAGCACAAGCATTTAGAAACATCTCCAGATATGATCTCGACGACATTATCAACGACGTCATGGCAGGTACGCCGCTGGATTTCTCGAGTTACGTTCAAGGTACGGCATCTACGCCTGGAGCTGCGCATCCGAATCTTTCCCAAACTTCTCAGTCTCTGTCGGCAGCTGAAGTGTTTGCTACAAACGCGCCGACCGCGGCGAATGGATATCGTACCTTTAGTGACGGGATGCTCCCAAACGCGACCATGGGCTTCGACATAAATAGTAACGGGGGCCAAGGCATGACGAGTATACGTGAAGCTACGAATGGGCAAGAGATGAACGGAAATGACATCATGGACAATGGCGACATTGACTGGCCGCTTTGGGACGACATGGTAAATCAACTTGGGGCCGATAGCCATCTGGCTAATCCTTCGACTAGAACTGGACCGGGAACACTTGGCATAGTTCCCTGGTTTTGAGGCAGAGTCTGATGATTTTATGATAATGTTTTGGCGTTTGGAGAATCTACGCTCCATTTTTGTTGTGGATTAATGCGGTGGTCATGTTTGAATACCCTCTTTCGTTACTGTGTTTGTATGCTGTTTGTACATAGTATTATTGCGACGTGCAAGATTCTGAATTGAACATTTTATGCTATTTTTTGTCAAATTTGGCACCTTGCATATAGTTTGCACTACTATGGAAAAACATTGACGGATGAAGAAGCTCTTTTTCAGCATGGATCTTGATAAGATGATGCTGTCAGCCTGCATTGGAACAGCGCCACATGTATTCAAGACAAAACCTACCCAGACTTACACACATGTTGCTCATCAAACACACTCCATATCCTCCCGCCAAGACCACGGACACTCGATTCCAACGACTCGCATCGAGCAACAACCCACATGCATGCAGTGCAAGCCTACGCGTCTTATCTTCGTCGCTACCTCTGCTAACGTAATAGTACCTCAAGCTGATGAGGGAGAGCGGCGGATCTAACTACGTACCCTCTTTTTTTTTGTTTTGCCCCACGTCCCGTCAAAGACAAATGCATTGCCACGTTCCCGTGCTCCTTCCCCCGCGCGAACCCAGGATCCTTGTCCGGGTATGTTAAAAGAGCCACATGACCAAGAGCCCGTGTCTCAACATATCTGCGGGACGTATAGAGAGAAAGCTGGAAACGAAACCAATCAACGAGTCATACATATAACATTATTTTTATTTGCTCTCTCTCTCTCTCTCTCTCTCTCTCTCTTCACATTCTTATCGTCACGGTTTTTGGAATTTTTTGGGGGGGAACTTCTAATGATAATAGGGGAAGAAGAAGAAGGATCGTTTTGCACAAACGCAATGGTCTTGGAAACGCGGGACGCGGGCGGCGTCGTTGTCGCTGCAAAGCCCACGATCCTGCATCTCGGCGACGATATACGCTGGAACCACTCGCTGTACGACGAGTTGCAAGCCAAGTTCCATGTCGTGCGGACGTATTCCATGGGCCGTGAGGAGTTCAAGCAGGCGCTGCGGGAAAGGCGGTGGGGGGACTTTGTAGGCATGTACCGGCCGTTTTGGAATACTGGGGGGGAAATGGGGAATTGGGATGAGGACTTGGTGTGAGTTTTGGAATTTCTTCTACAATTCTATGTTGTCTTTCTTTGTCTTATTACTCAAAAGGAGGAAACTGGCAAAGGGATTGATTTTTTTTCAACTACTTTACTAACAATCTACGTTACGTCAGCTCTCTCCTCCCTTCCTCGTGTAAAATCTACGCCTCCGCCGGCGCAGGCTTCGACTGGGTCGACACGCGCAGTCTAGCCTCGCACGGCACCATCTACTGCAATGCGGCATCCGCGTGCACCGAGTCCGTCGCCGACGCCGCCATGGTGCTGATTCTCTCGTGCTACCGCGCAATCACGTGGTCTTTTCTCGCCGCGCGCTCCCTGTCAGAAGACCAGTTCCACGATGCAAACCGCAACATTGCGGCCGTGACGCACAATCCGAACCACAGCGTGCTCGGCATCATCGGCCTCGGCCGCATCGGCATGCGCATTGCAGAGAAAGCGACGCGCGCGTTTGAAATGCGGATTGCGTATTACGATGTTGTGAGGCAGGATGAAGAGCGAGAGAAGAGCGTCGGAGCGACGTATTGCGCAACGCTGGACGAGTTGCTGGGCATGGCGGATTGCGTGGTGCTGGCTACCCCGTTTGAAGGCGAAGTGCTACTTTCGACACCACAGTTCAACCAGTTTAAGCACGGGGCGCGGCTGGTGAATATTGCGAGAGGGAAATTGGTGGATGAGGAGGCGCTGAATAAGGCGTTGGACGAAGGTAGGGTCGGTGCTGCGGGACTCGATGTCCATGCGGATGAACCGCGTGTGAATCCACGGTTGGCGGTGAGGAATAATGTTATGGTTCTGAGTCACACGGCGGGAGCCAGTGTAGAGAGTCATATAGGGTTTGAGCGGTTGGGCATGGAGAATCTGCTGGGGTGGTTGAGAGAGGGGGAGAAGGGATGTGTTAGTGCGGTCAATCTGCAGTGGTTGAAGAGGGAGTGATGGATGGAAAGTCTTGAGGTTTGGCTAGAGTAGAAGACATAGATACAATACACGTACAGCGTCTTGCTAGAAACTCAATCAAGATTAGATGATTTCATAGTACCAGGCAGACAAATACAATGAACCAAACAGAATCTCTGATCCAACAAAAAATTTATACATTCTTAAAATGTCTATATATATATGTACTGAATAACTCCCCGTAACCTCAAACTACGCTTCAACAACCTCCTTTCTTTCAACCCCCTCATCCTTCTCAACCCGATCATGCATCTTCCTAGCAACTTCGTCGGTAAGATATTGCTCTACATTTGGCGACAACAGTGCCGCAACAATAAGCAGCGCTCCAAATGGTAGTGTACAGAGATACACTGTTCGAAATGAAAGTGCGTAAGCGTCTTTGACAGCTCTTCCGGTCGCAGCAATAATGTCTGGTGTAATACCAGGCACGGCTGAGAAGTCTCCAAGTGTGATACTTGAAAGTAGAGACTCTAGTGACGATTCCGGTAGTCCAGCGGCAAGCGCAGCAGGTCCGACTTTTCGTGGAATATACTTTTTTGACTCTGTTGTGATGATGGACGAGTACATGCTTGTCGCGATAGCCGAAAGACCGGTACGTATAGCTCCCATGACACCAGTCACCAAACCGATATCCGCTGGGTCCCAAAGATACGCAGTACTCGAAAGCGTCAGGTTCTCAATGTATCCTGCTGCAATGGTGCCGATTAATAGAAAGGTTGTGGTTCGGTCTTCGGTATTCTCGTCGGATGCGGCAACGGCGGCGACAAAGGCCGTTGTGATAACTGCCGCCACAGTCATCTGAATCTTCATTCGTGGCAGATAGCGCACACCGGCACCTCCAAGAATCTGTCCCAGAAGCAGACCACCCCCGACAGCACACTGTGAATATCAGTCTGGACTCAAAAGCTCAAGAATCTACAAACTTACGGACAGCCACCCGATCTTGGAAATGTCAGTTGTGAATAGCGCGGAGACCATGGTAGGCCAGATGACCGTGTTAGCATAGTAGACAATAGCCGCCAAGCTAGCACACGCTACATTCGCATCGTACTTGATGTTCCTGAACAACCGTAGAGGTATTAGCGGGTATTCGAGTCCGGGAGCGTAAGCTTCCCAAAAGCAAAATGCCACCAAAGTGCCAAATCCCGCGAACAGTGCTCCAAGTACGTGTCCGCTATCCCATGGGTATGCTGAGCCACCCCAGTTCATGCCGATCAGAAAAACAACGAGTCCAGTTGAAAACAGGAGAATTCCAACCCAGTCGAGAGTCTTTAGCTGTTTAAGTTTAGACTTGCCGCCAACGTGGAGCATTTCCTGTGCTTGTTAGCCCTGACCGAGGTGTGTGGATGAGAGCTCACTTACGTATGTTGGTGGGAAATAAAAGAAAAAGTACATGACTACGGCAAAAACATTGACGATACATCCTAGGATATAGCACCATCGCCATTGAAGAGCTGTGGTCTGGTATAGCGATCGCGCAACTGGAGGACCGAAGACGGCAAACGGAACCGAAGTGAAAAGCACAAAAGCATTGACTGGACCTCTGAGAGAGTTCGGTACAAGCTCGCCGAGGATAATGTGAAACGAGAGCTGACCGGCAGCAGCAAGGCCGTTAATCGAGTTGGTGGCCTGTTTCTGTTAGGGCCATCTGTTGATATAGCATTTTGTACTGACAATCAACATATCTATGCTTTGTGCACTTGCTCCGATGATGTTTCCGACTAGACCGAGAAGGGAAGAACAAATGAAGAACCATCTCCGACCAAATATGTCGGATAGACGACCAACAAGTGTGAAGCCAATGGCAAAACCAGCTGTCCAAGAGATGCTGACCCATATGATGTTTGGTGATGGTCCAATGGCAGTGTTAATGAGGCTCAAGGTGTTGGCTGGAAGAACCCAGCCAAGATACCTAGATCGATAGTTAGTGTCTCAACCTATGCTATGGGTTGGACATAAACTTACCCTGATATTTGCGCCAAACATGTAGCCTGTACATAATGAGCTTTTGGAAAATAAAAAAACACAAAGACCTACAATGACTGTGCCGATGAAGTTGATGCTTGTAAAGTATGACTTGCCCAAGTCGGCCGTGCGCCCACCGAGCGCCTCTTCGGCAACATGATCGTGGTGGAGTCCATGGTTGCGAACGATATCTTCATCAGTGAGATTGCTACCGGTGGTGACTTGCTGAGGGAACTGCTTCTCTCTTGCCATGGTGTTTTGGCCTCTGGTGGATTCAGTGGCACCGTTGCGTACGAAGCACGACAGTGAAGAAACTCTTACAGCGATGGAGTCTGGACTGTCTTTATCCACACGCAATGCTCATGATTCAGGGTACATATGCGGGGACCCCAGACGCCTGAGTGTGGAGTAAAGGCTCCGTCAGTCGGGTCCCAGATAACCGGGAGTGGCCATCATGTGCAAGGCAATGGTTTCACGACATGGAGCAATGATCTGCTTGCCCGGATGGGAAAGTCAAGCGTGGTCTGATTGGTATCTAGGTGTCACTACCCGGAAATCATTTTGACTGTGTAGAGGTGCAGGAGCTGGCTGTGTGTTGTAGCCGGATGATGGTACCCGGACTACAGATGAGAGAGCTTTAATGCAAGAACGATCATGAAGCGTACTTTTAGATGCATGTACAAGGTCCAAGTGCGTTTTTCGAGCAGACGAGACTGCAGCAATTAATTACTCGCGAGATGCCTACCAAAGTGGAAGCCCCAGGACTTGCTGTGCAGAAGCTGCATGCCGTAGCAGGGAAAGATCATCGGCTATCGTTTCCAGCGCAAAGTGGCCTTAAAACATTGTTCGACAGTGTTTAGCCGGCATATGCTGCTCAAATGCAAGCCTCCCATATGCGGGGTCAAGGGATTGACTGCAAATGTAAAGGCACTTTACGTATCCGAGTCACAATGCACGAACCCGTGTCTAGGTATACTTAGCGCGTGGGGTGCAGCATGGATGGCATGCAAAGGGACTCGGAGGCTGACATTGCCGCTGTGCCTCTAGTCGTCTCTGTACAGTAAGTACACTTGAGAAGGGTGTTGCGTGAGAGGACAGAGTATGGAGAATGAAGAATGAAGAAGAGAAGGCAGACCAAAGAGTGTACGCGGTGGTAAGCGAGAAGGAGCGGCATCGTCTCCCCCGCATTTTACTCCCGCCAGCACGTGATTGGGCGTGACTCGCCGCGGTCCCGCCAAAAACTTTTGGTCACGGTTGGAATGTCGTCGCGTCTGCACCTTCGCCTTCACCAAAACCTCATGATCGACCGGTGACGCACACCCAGACCTACGACCCACCAGTATGGCTTCAGTAACCGCGCCTTCGCCGGTGCCCAAAGAAGAGCCCGTCGACGCCAACAACAGCAACAATGAAAGCCTCAGCCCCGCCGATGCGCTATACGAGAAATGCGCCCAACGACCAGCAGGCCAGATCTTCTTCCAGCGAGACCTGTCCAACATGCAGGTTGCAGATACCATGGCGCAGCTAATGGAACTGTTGCAAGAGCTCGGCGACCGCCATCTCTTGAAGATCATGACTTTTGAAGGAGTTACGTGCTGGAAGCTGAGAACACGAGAAGAGGCCGACAAGTGTGTGCGCCCTTGATGCTGTGCACGAATGTGCAGACACAAACACTTAGAATCGCATATGCGGGCACCCTGCTAACATGTGCGCCCAGGCTTCGACGACTAACTCCCGACGAGCGCCTCATCTATTCGTACATCGACCAGGTCCAGACCGAAGGTATCTGGTCCAAGGCTCTTCGATCCAGGACCAACGTCACCCAGCAAACCCTCACAAAGTGCCTCAAGAGCTTGGAGTCCAAGGACTTGGTGCAGTCAGTCATGAGCGTCAAGAACCCCAACCGCAAAATGTATCTCTTGAAGCATCTCAAGCCCTCGGAAGATATCGCTGGTGGGCCATGGCAATCCGAGGGCGATTTTGACATGGCGCTGATCGATACAATATCGGGTATTGTTGCACAGCATGTGGAGAACGAAACTTGCATCCGGGTGCCGGGCAACTGGAACGATTACGACATCACAGAAGATAGAACGGCTGCCATTGTCAGGAAGAAAGCGCAAGTGCAAGGTATTCCGGACATTGAGGATATTGCGCCAGCTGTCAAGCCTCATCACCCATCCAAGGATCCAAATGTAACTAAACTTGTCCATCGACACAACCCACAGTACCCGACCGCCGCCTCCGTAGCCAACTGGCTCAACTCGAAAGAGATTTTACGTGGCAAATCCGTGCGTGAAGATGACATGGAGCAATTACTCGAGATGATGGTGCTCGATGATCGGCTAGAGAAAATATCTGGTACCAACTACCGGACTGTGCTACGCGTAACAGATACCAAAGTCTACAATGGCTTCGTAGACGCTCCCTGCGGCAACTGTCCAGTATTTGATCTATGTGGAGACGAGGGTGAAATTTCAGCACGTACTTGCGTCTACTTTGGCCAATGGCTCGAGACGGAATCTGAGGAGATTTAGAGGCAGAATCATTTGAGTAGCTTGGACCAGTTCATCCTTATTTTAAAAGCATAGCGTGGGCGTTCATGGATATTCTTCATAGGCTAAGTAGATGCAGTGTGTTCACCAGCCAATGCTTTAGTCGAAATAAAAAGTTCAATTTTGAGTGCATAACTACTTATTTTTATATTTGTCTTTCGCTCCTAGTGATTTGGCCTGCATACATGACTCACCTAACTCATTTTTCTATTGGGACGGTGAACTGTAGTGCCTTACTACTCGTTAGGAATGTTGCGGTAGCTTTTTGTACAGGTCATATACTCTGCAGGGTGGCCATGTCTTACTTTCGCAAGCATGACAACAAATAGTGAAGCAGCTACAACCACAGAACAACTACAATCGGTATTAATTCCCACAACTTGTGATATACGCGGTTATTGCAAATAGGTTTGTTAGTATGATTTTAGGTAGTTCGCTTTGAGATGGATTGAGAACGAAACGGGAATGTTTAATGAGTCTTGGTACAGAGGCTCTTCTTACCAGCAATATCGTCTCTTTCTCGGGCAGAGATTGCTGACAATCTGATATACCTCTCTACCAGGGGCTCAGCCATTTAATCGGGCATTATATATGTCCACTTCG